GTGGTGGTAGATGTTACATTCTTATAGCATAGATACTTCTTTCCTAAAGATAGGTAAGCCCTCATCCCTTACTTTTTATCTAAAATACAAAAGAAAAAAAGTAATGGCTTGAATTGAGAACAAACTCTCATAATTCAGGTTCTAGCTACGACATGGAAATCACCTCATTTTATTAGCTTTTCTTTCACTCGCTCATTATTTTAGCTATGAACATCATTTTCTAGAATTATTATGGGCTAATAAAAAGTCTTACACTAACCATTTAGATCAAATTATTTATTCACAAAATTTTCATATTATTTCCATTTTGGAAACTCAAATACAAGATAAAAAGTTTCAAACAATAATGGAAAGGTGATTTTTGTCCAGCCCAATATAGGACGAAAGGCTTTTTGATGGCATGGAGGGCAGACCTCTTCAAGATGACTACCATGAGTAAGAATTCTCAATTGCTTCAAATTATTGCATAACAACCAAGTCCCCATGACTTCTATCTGTGGTTTATATAAGCATCGTGGATTTCATTTGGAATGATTTATGAATACATTTTGCAATTCTCGATCTTCTTGGATTCTTTGTGTGATCTAGATTGTATTGTTTGTCCAAAAGACAAGCTTGATATGCACGCTTTTCAACTAATTTTTTTTATTTTTTGGTACCAAAATTTCTTTCACATTCTAGTCTCATGGGGACAAAGTTTTTTGGATCTTGTTTTATACGATGTAACAACAGTTTAGGCAATTCTTGTATCTCGACTCATTTTAACAAGGCTCTTGTGAATAATCCTCCGCTCACTCTTTTTAAACATGTTACTATCAACATCTCCCTCGTATTGCTTATGATTATCCTACATTCTTATTTCTTTTGATTATAGCCTTAAACCTCATCAAAAGACTTGACCTTTTAAATTTAAACTATTATGGATTTAATACCCAAATGTCTATCTTCAGTCTCATTAGTAGATCCTAGAACAACTCATTGGAGCTGATCACTCATTAGTCGTCTTGAACAAAACCTTCAATCCACTATTGATGAGATTTCCTCCCTTGCTAAAAGAAAATTATGATCCCCTCAACTATGTTGATTTCTTGAAGCTTTATGCCCTTTATAATTATTTTGTTGGACTCGATCCAAATCCAAATAGATCGAACAAGGCAATAAGAACACAAAATTCTTTCATAACTGCTCATATAAGAAATCATATTAACTCCATCAACATCATCCAACTTGAGAATGGTTAAATCTTATAAAATGTTAATCATATTTGAACATTTTGCCTCCTAGTATACACCAAGCTTTAGGATGCTTGTATCTTCCTTAGGTCTTCTAATCAATCTTGCTACCCTCATCTCTCTCATATCTCTTAATAAATGGGACTCCATTATGAAGGATTTTACTTGCATCCAGATCTTCTCTATCCTCAAATCCATGGGATTAGACAAAAAGATCGAGCCTTGACAAATTTATGATCAAATTTTATATTACTCTTAAAGCTTATTTTCTTCTAGCTTTCCAATAATTTCATCAACATGCTTTCACCCCCAAACACTATTAGACTCGGATACCACCGGTGGGAGATGGAGAGATGATTCTAAAAACCAAAAAAAAAAAATTACAGTTATCAACTATTAAAGAATATACTAGCTAGTTAGCATAAGATTAATGTGATTTAGCAAATTCTGCCTACATACGTTGAGACAAATAAATTCTTCAATATATGAGATTAATTATAAAGCTATTGAGTTATCCCTACATAAGTATGACTCCTCTAATAAACCTCTCATATAAACCTAAAGAATTTTTCTTTCAATGCCTTTTAGAAACCCTAAAGATCATCCTTAGGAGCACTCAAAATGCCTTGCCTCTCCCTCTTATCAAAACATTGAGATTCAATATGATAACCTTCTTGGCATTAGGGAGGGGAATTGGCTATTTGAGGATTTTATCTCTTATGATCATCTCCTTCAACCTTTCGAAGATAGATTAATTGACAAAATCACATCCAAAATTCAAGGTTGGTAGATGAATATGATTTCCAAGATGGGTAAAACAATACTCATCAATTTTGTTCTCAACTCCTTCCTCTTCACTTATGATTAACACTTAGCTCCCCAACAACACTATCCATAAGATCTCTAACATTTCTAAGAGTTTCTTTTGGAGAGACTCTAGTGCATCCAAAAAGTTAAGGCTTATCAGCTAAAATAATGTCACATTTATTTCCTTAGAGACTATTTTCTAATCAAAAATTCTATTGGTGTCTATCCTTCTCACCCTCAATGTTAGTAGTGCTAGCATTGATCACACTTTATGGGTTAAGATCATGTCCACCAAGTATGGCACTCCTCACCCCTAGAACATCTCTCTCAAAACTCATCCTATACTTGGAAAAATATATGTTCAATTATTAAAAATGTCAAATATAATCTTAAAAAATGTATCAGCTTCACTAACATCCACTGAATTACCAATATCCCTCTCTCCAAATGGTTTATCTTCCTTAATATCAATGCTCTAAAAAGACTCATGAATTACCGATATCCCTCTTTCCAAATGATCTATCTTTCTTAACATTCTTGAATGACTTACTCGTGTTTTTGACCTTATCCTCACCCCCCCTAGCCAAAAGATGGAATTGCTACCTCGAAAAGCCTTTACAACTTTTTTACAGCATTGTAGCTTAGATGAGATCTGAGATAGCTGGATAACTATGTGAACTTCAATGTTCTTCAAGCATCAAAATGTTTCTTTGAAAACTCTTTTGGAGCTATCTTTCCACTTTTCATTAGCTTTCAAGTATCATTCACTAATTCCTGCATCGATCTAATTTTGACTCCGTTGAACACATTTTCTTTCAAATGTCATTTTGCTTTGCATTACTTGGATCTTGCCTCTGAAACATCAGTTCCAACACTTAAATAGTTGGCCCTCGAGTCCTTGGCTAAAAGATGTTTTATTACCGCCTCTCTTTGGATGCTTAGAAAGAATAGAAATGAAATGTTGCATAGCAACCGCTATTCCTTCCTCATTTCCATATTGGCAAAAAGTTCTCACCTTATTTGATGAGATAAAGAGGACTACCTGTGATGGATTTCCTGCTGTAATTATTGCTAGCTACTAATCAAATCTGATTTCCTTGGAATGGGGATTTTGTCCCGCATCATTCGGATGTTTCACTTTGCAAATAGTTTCTTTGCCTTTGCAAAACAAAAACAAAAACTCACATACGCAGTCTGGATGACTCACTAACTTTACAACTGTTAAACCTTTTGGTAAGATTAAATGAATCCATACTGTCAAAGCCACTATATATTTACTTATTTTAAAGAATTGATATGAGCATATATGAAACATGTGCATGTTGTGTGACTAATGTATCACATGATACAATGAGCATAGCTATAGTGAAATAAATTATCTATCATGAGTGTTCAATCTTCTAATGACCTTGAAAAAAAAAAACTTACAACGGAGCTATAAATATTTGTCAATTCATCAATAATGACCAAAGAAATAGTTCTCCAAATGAATAATATAATATTTGGGCTGCACAAACACCTCAAAACATCACAAAGCTCAAGATTTCTCTAGAATTGCCTAAACTGTCAGGCGATAGTATTGCCCAAGCAAACGATAGTATCGCCAGAACCTTAGGTCCCATGCTTTGTCAAATGATAGTACCACCCAACGCAAGCGATAGTACTGTTAATACCTTGAAAATATGAAGATTTAAATTTTTAACTCTATTTATGAACTCATTTTGGGTCTATAAATATCACACTCATGCTTGATTGGTGAAAGCACGAAAACCTTATAATTTAAGTGTATAAACTCTCTTGAAAAGTATTGAGTCTCTTCCTCCTTTAAGTTTAGAAGTTATTCTAAAGGATGTGTGAGGCCTTCTTGTAAAAGAGATGTATGAAGGTTCTCTCATAAACCCATAAAAAGGAGAAAGAGTTGTAACAAAGTTAGTTGATCTTCGTTCATTTAAAAGAAAATCGTTATTAAAAGCCAATGATCTCGAGGGAAGAAGAATCGAGAATTGCAGATATATAGATAACAATGTTTGAATGTCAAATAATGTTACAGAGAACGAGCCAAAGGGAGAGGAGGCGGTGGTAGTGGTGGAGGAAGCGGAAGCAAAAGGAAAGAAAAAGGAGGGAAAAAAAATAGAGGGGGAGGAGAAAAAAAATGGGATGTCTATTTTTTAATTTATAAAAAAATATCCTCGAGTAAGAATTGACCGAGGAGGCATCATTCGATAAAAAAAAATTAATAATATGGGTTTTTTCTCATAAAATATCTATTTTATTTAATTTACTTGGGGTTATGTCACGATATAATTTAATACATAGTTAATAAATTGAACTTAGTCGTCATCAACCGGCGCTAGCCGGTTAACTCATTAGTTTTATGCTATTTGGTGGAAGGTTAAGTGTGTTTAAGCAAAGTAGAGATATGCTTCATTTTATGGGGTAAAGTAGACGTATGCTTCGTGGATGGACACGTTTCGGTTGGTAAGCAGCCGATGACCGGACCGGTGTTGGGTCATTCTCGCCGGCTGCGGTCATGATTCATATCCTTCTCTGTCTTGCTTAAGGCGATGGATTGCTCACGTAGACCATTTGCCTGCCTTTTGACCCCCCTGTGTGTGTGTGTGTGTCTGAGAGAGAGAGAGAGAGAGAGAGAGAGGAAAGCATGATTTCTAGAATGCGTCAAGTCCGTAGAAAAGCCTAATAATTTTGTGATGCGTTCCCATTCGTGATGAGGAAGAAGTTGGAAATACACCAACAAAATAAGATGTTGTGGGCCTGTTTTTATAGAATTAAGTATTGTCATTCTATTCGAAAAACATGTGGAAATATCTAAAAGTCAATTTCTTTCTTTGGCTTTGACCGTTTCCACTGGTCTTCCCAGTTCCGCCAAAATCTATTGGTCTAAGAAGACGCTATTTCCTGCCTCAAAGGAGACATCCGATCTCGAATCCTCTCCTCCACCTCCCCCGTTCCCTCCTTCTACCGAATTGGAAGCTTCCTCCTCCTCCCTGGTCTTCCAAAACCAGGTCAATTCCGTGCGCTCAGAGGAGGATACTTGTTCTCCCCGGCCACTCCTGGCTCTCTATCGGAGAATCGCCTGAGGCGCTTCCCTGTCATCGATTTGCCTCTCGCAAGATGAACAATCTTCTCACGGTATTCTTCCTTCCCTTCCCTTCGATTTAAATCAGTTCGACTCGTTTGATTCCCCTTCCGGTTTACATTTGGAGCTACCGAGCAAGCATATTGATCAGATTCAACTAGTCTTTACAGTGCATGAACTAACTATTTTGTTTCTTCTTGGCTACTTCATTCTCATCTCTATGTTCTCTTTCTTTTTTCTCATCAAAAAGATCGTTTTAGCTTCATCTGTGACCAAATTCGTTTGCCAAATCAGATTATCAAAGAACAATCAAGTGTTTCCCAGAAGATTTGATGAGTCTGTTCCTTTTCTTTCTCGATCAGACGTGAATATAAATAGTTGCAAACACAGTTTCTATGGTAATTGGAAATTTGCAGCAATATGAGTATATAAATTTTGTTTCTTCGGTAAGTAACTAAACAACTGAAACTTCAATCATATGTAATTTCTTTGGGGATTTATTCACTAATTAAAAAGGTTGCTTTGGTTTCAACTAGGAGCAAATTTGCCTTGTGAAATCAAATAATCCAAAGTTCTGATGGATTCCTTCTTTCCTTCCCTCTCTTTAGATATAATAGATAGTTCCAGTCACAGTTGCTCAGGCAAATAAAGAACTAACTTCAAAAACTATCGTATGATATCTAATGTTTGTGACCCAATTTGTATAAGCTATTTGATAAGATTGAAACAAAAAATAAAAGCTAAAAATAAGATAGATATAGTTGTGCTCAGATGCAATACCTGTCTGTCTATCTTCAAAAGCTGGCCTTTCCATTCATGTTTAGTTCCAACTGACTCAAAAGGACCCAATTAAAATGCTCAGAAGATTGCTGGTTATTTAGGGAACCAACCGTCTTAGGACTTGCCAGACTATCTGATGAATGAATTCAGTGTTTCTTCATCTGTAGGAAAAAAATTGCACAACATGATTTCTTGAGTACGTCACCGAAACTTTCTTCAGAGTTGGGTTGAAAAGAAACTGAAAGTAAGTTACCTGGCTAAGTAGTTTAAACTTGAAATTGGAAAGTTATCAAGGAACATGCTTTCTTCATTATGCCAAGAGGAATCTCCAAAACAGAACATAGTTTCTTCGGCATTAGTCCGAATCTCCAACTTTGAAATAGCAATCATCGGTCAGTATGATATGTATCGAGGTGTATCGATATACTGTATGTCGGTATGCCAAAGTATATCGATGCTCAAAATCATCAAAAATAATTTTTTTTTTTTAAAAAAAAAATATATATATATATATATTA